AGATGTTTGTATACTACATTTATTTTTACTTTTTTCTTAAATTAGTTTCCTTCGTAATCATAAGTGTAATTATAAACACTATACAATTGATTCTTATTGTATTTGCTTGACGTTACTTTACAATTTTTATTTTTTTTCGGAACTTATCGGAGTTCGTGTGGAAAATCAAGATGATAATTGGGTGTAGTAATATCGAAATTTTATCACGTCAAGAACCACCAACTGCTCTGATGGGAAAGTTCATGAAATTAAATTGCGTTTAGGCTTCAGTCTATGGATCTTCGAATGCCCAAAATACAGAGACAGCGCATTTAGTTTCGATTTTCTTTAATATTTCACTTTTCATCCTGTGAATCTCACGCTTGGCTGTCCTTCGGTGTGAAAAAGAGAAACTAAGGTACAAATAAAACTGTGTAATAGTCTACTTTAATAATACCAAACATGCCTTGGGTAGGTCTTGGTATCTCAGTCAGAGAGATATTAAGATATAATTGCAAAGATTTTGTGTTTGTTCACCCATCACAATAAAACTGACTTGGTAACGTTAAAAACTGTATTGTAAAATCAGACCTCAAACTGTTTGAAATATTACTTCGTTTATTTAATGAGACTAAGTGAATTGGAACTACTATGTAATTTGGTAGAGTACGAAACTTAATTATGTCGATCTCGAAATTACGTTGACCTATTCACAAAATATTATCACCTTTCAATCACTGGTGGGCGCTGCCCACATCCACCTAACATAGCTATATTGCCTTATAGTGTTTACTGTTATTTGACAACGAATAACACAACATTTATATGAACATATCTCGTAAATCTCTCACTTATAATATATTAAAAACATATTATTAACTTTGTGGGTAGAATGGATGGATGGTAATATCTAGGCAAAGATTTCGGATGTAAAGAAATTTGGCATAAAGCTCGTTTTCAGGCCATATTGCATCTCGTTAATATTAGATAATTTATTAAAAATACAATTAAGCGTCGATTTTAAATAGAATCTTTATATTTAATCTACCATTGCTTACGGAGAATATGTGAATTATGGACAAGTTTTATGACTAGTGCCCAGTTTATTGCTAATTTGTATGATTAAAAAGTTTTTATATTTTATCGCGGCATGCGAAATTAAACGGGCTACATGCTTTATCTTGTAATTATCCGTTGTAATATAAATGGAGAACAAGAAAATAGTAAATAGGTAAAGTATTTCTTTAGCAATCCTTCTCCCTTTACAGACCGCCGAAGTAATTTTTATGAATGTCAAGTACAGACTTGAGGCTGCTAGAGGTAAAGTGGCCTAATAACAAAAACATGATTTTCAATTAAAGGAGGAAAATAAAAATGCGCGCAAAAAACTTCGGAGAAAGTGAATTTGTACTATTTTGTGTAAAAAAATTGTTAACTATTTTAGGTCACTGTAGGGCTTGTAGTTTAAAATTTTTAGACTATAAAAATATAAAGAACTCAAGTCACATAAAATTGCAATGTTAGGCTACTCTGCCTCTAGGGGCCTCATGTTTTCTGCTATATTATGAAATTTATAATCTATTACGAAGAGATGTTTTAATTAAAAATTTCGTAAGCAAGAAGGGTTTCCGAAGGCCGAGTAATATAATTGGCACGGGGGCGGCTTAAGGGCGACCAGCCTCCAAATATGGATTAATAGACAGGCTGAAATATTACATCACGTTTAATCATTATTTTTAAGGTCAAAGTAAACAAGTTGTTTTGGTAAATAATTAAGATATTTTAAGTTATATTCGGTCAAAACTGTATTGTAGTAATTGTTACGACATGCAATCTTAGCATAGCAATAAGGCTATTGTTGTATATTTTGGATAAACAAATCGACAGAAAAAAGATGCTTTCAGTTTCACAGTAGTTACAAAGTAGCAAAGTGTAAAGACAAAATTAGAACGCCGCTGAAACGGTCTGTTTCTTGCTGGTTACCCGTTTACATTGAACTTACATATTGAATTATTACAATTGGTATAAAATTAAATTTAACACAATTTTTAACCTCTCTGTTTAAATTATACCCGTACACGCAACGAAAAAAATTAAAAGGTAAATCTTTGTTTGGTTAAGAAATGTTTGTAAAGAAATAGTTAAAAAAAAAAATGTTGGTGGCAAAGTATGGCTGATAATTAACGGGTCGTGGGTTGGATCCCCACCGGGTTTATAATTTTCCAATTTATAATGTTTTTGAAACATGTGGGAATTCGTCTGGAAATCTGGATATTAAATGGATTGAGGAATTTAGAAATTCCGTCCGTGTCACGAACCACGGTCCACAGCTGAAAAAGCCGTGAAGTTTAATCACTTTAAGGTTTCAGTCTGTAGTCTAATCGTATAATAAAAGCCTTCTTGACCTTATGTATCTTAATTCTACTAGATAGGTTGCTAGCGCCAGTAGAAGTAATTGCGTAAACGACACAATTCGATGAAACGCACTCATACCAACCCTTCACATCCGGTTCCTGCCAATGTCAAGTTCGTCACGTGTACACAGTTTAATGTAAACTTACCACTCGTTACGGCCGCTCCTTGGAGGTATCCTGTACCATTTTAGCTTAATATATGTATTTGAATTTGCGCTCGTGACTTTATTAAACAAGCACCTATCGCGTCTACACGATAAACCTACATGTATAACAGTATGGTGTAAAAGTGATATTGTTAATAGTTATAGTTAAACAATGCATTGTTTAACTATACAGACGTTGCATCATTAGATAAAAACTAAAGAAATCAGCCCTTCAAAAACACAAATAATAATGGCAACACCAGTGTAGTGTATAAAAAACAAGAATCACAATTCGTTTATGTAGTTTTAATGACGTTATTTTTTGAGCCCACTTTAGTATGTACTTAAATACAAATTTGGTTTCTAATGCAAGGATTACAGCTATTGTTTATGTAAGCATGTATAAAATAGATACCGTTAAAATTACATTTCAAGAAATAAGGAACTTAAACGTAATAAGTAAAGACCGTAAAAACTCAAATACTTACCTTACCTTTTTATGTGTTTAAAAACAGTAATTAAACACCTACTTCATAAATGTGAATATACTGCAGCAAACAAAATAAATTGCTTTTCTGCACAGCATCTTAACAGATGTACGCAGATCCGGAGTCGGGTTCGCATCTGCTCATAGTTCCCAGTTCCCACACCCACAAGATTCCCATTATGATTTGGTTTTTTGCTTTTCGGAAGCGCCTATTCTATATTGTGATGTATTTGAGAACGAAAACAGGTAATCGAAATTAAATGAAACTATTTAGTAAGTAAATAATTAATTTAATATATATTTAATTACTTGTAACATTTTCATGTTTACTTAAGTATTGTATCTCACTATCTATCACTTTGGTATTCAATGTTTAGAATTATAATTAAAAAGAATTAAGTCCAAAGAAATAAAATGAAACAGACTGTTGATAAAGTAAATTATGCTCAAAGTTCAACACAGAAGTGTGAAAGTAGAATAAAAACAAAAACGAAGCGCCATGCTCAGAAACTGATGCAAACAGGTGGTAAATCTAGTTCTCACGAGGTACAATGGCTTTTTTGCAATTTCAGAAGTGGCAACAGCACTAACAATATGATGGTACAACAAAAAAAATGTGTTAGTGCTGATCTACGACACAATTTAAGTTTCATAATATTTTTATATTCGAAAATGACATACACAATTTAATTGAAAATGGCGTATCATTGTACTTTTATTAAAATAAAACATTTTAACAGAAGTGTCTATTTAAATGCTTGCTTAAATCCTGTCGTAAAGTACAGACAGTCATTACGTAACTGTTGTATAACAAGGTACGCACGTATGTTTAAATTAAATTAAGTACCTCAACAATAATAATAAAGACTGACTGGATATCACTGTTTTAAACTACCCACATGTAACTTGCGTAGATTGAGGGTAGTTTGATTTAAATATTTTTTCTCTTTCTGTTATATTTTTAAAACTGTCTAGATAATTAATATTAAATATAACAAACTAAATTAAGTTTGTAGGTTGTTTAGCTGTACTGTATTATCTATTAAAGTTTGATATAAATTCATCGATAGAAAAAGGGCATCACTATTGCGTGCTCCCATGCATTATGGCATTAACCATACGTCGTGTAGAAAGAGTAGAAACCAGAACATCGCCACAATGCACGGAAAGTTCATATGAAACAATATCCAACTGTCTGATCGTAGAAAATTACTAGGAAATTATTCCTCAGAGTTCAGATATTATGTAAAGAGCACAGATAGTAGTAAACCGTTAGATCATTGTTTTATAGATAATAGAATTAATTTAATAGTGTAACCTAAAACTAATATTTTTATTTTAGTTAAGACAACAAGTTAAAGTACAACTTTAAAAACACTAGTTAATTGCACTTACATCTATACTAATATACAAAGCTAAAAAGTATGTTTTTTTAAACGCGCCAATCTCAAGAACTACTAGATCGAATAACATTTTCTAATTGTGTTGGTTAGAGCATTTATGTGTGGAAGGCTTTATAAAACATCAAACTACGACCAATATAAGAGAAAAACAAAGGCAAATGTAGAATAAATGGGGAAACATATTCATGTTTATTTAAGATATCAAAAAAATTGATTTATAAATGATTCCTCTTTAAATTATCTAAAAAATGTCCGTGACAGTATATGTCTATCTTTTAAGATAATCTTGCAAGAACTTATAATTGATAATGAGGAGGTTGCAAAAATGATGCCCAAAATAACTATTCTATGCAGGCAAAGTCGCTGGCACAGCTAGTAACATACATATTTTATTTATATTACCATATATTACCTTGGTACTATTTCTAATTAAATAACAAAAATATGTATTAATTATTTATGTTGTAACATAGGGCTTATTAACAATATTTACATAAATACACAACAACTGCACTCAATGCATTATTAAAATATAGCATACATTATTTATGTTCAGGTCTTAAACAATTTCTTACTTATTTTGCCTAAACAAATCATATAAAACAGAGCAAACTCTATAGATTGGAAGGCCAACAACTGTAAAGTAATCACCATCCACTCTTTCCACAAATGTTCCGGCTGCTCCTTGAATACCGTAACCACCAGCTTTGTCCCTGAACAATGGCATACAAAGTATTAATATTATTATGCTACTAGTATATGCTGTATATTACTTTAATATTCTGCTTTAGCTCATTGTTGGGCATGAATCCTGGATTCAAATACCAAATTCAGTCAATTGTTTTGGTCGGAATGACAAAGAATTCTGATCAACTATGGGAATGAAAATGATCATTATATAAATATAAAGTTTCATTAGCAGATACAAATTGTGTATACCATATATGTATGTATATGCAGTAATAACTTTAATACAATAAAGTTGGCTATCATTATTATTCAATAACTATAGAAATCCGTAATCTTTATATAGATTCAAAAATGTGCTTAGCTCTTTGTAGATTTGTGTAGATACAAATATAAGTAATTTAGAATACTGACCACAGCTAACATTCCAATATTATTACAAAATATTGCTGGACTAAAATTATTTTTTTTTTCAATGAATTGTGTCAAGGTTTAACTTACATAGGTTCACCAGTTGCAATATAACCTCTTATTTGTTCCTCATTCATTTTGCCAAAGTAAACATCAGTCTTTTCAGAGAACTTAATAACTTGATCAACGGTTTTAATAGCTACCCCAGTATATACAGTGTGACCTCTTCCTGATAACCTGGAACAAAAATAAATTTAAAAATATTATTTGTCTTAACTCACTAATGCTGAAAAGCGTTACTGTGTAATATGTGTTATTATATCCTTTAGAATCTACATCTAAAGCTACCTACCGAAATACCATGCATTTTACCTTGACAACATTTCAAAAGCTTCCTCCTCAGACCTTGGTTTACCATACATTTCACCATCCAGAGTAACCATTGTGTCCGCACCAATAATAACATCAGGCGAATTACCTTCTGCCCTTTGCCTATTATCTACTTCCAAAACTTTTTGTAATGCTGTTTCTTCAACAAATTCAGAGAAGCAGCTGAAACTTTTGGGGTCTAAATTCTCTTCAAATAAAGATGGATATAACCTTACTTTCAAACCCTGAAATTAATTGTCATATGTAAATGAAATAATTGTTTTAACTAAATTCTGGGTTTATTATATTATAAACATACTAACAATATTTTCAACTAGTTCTTTTCTTCTCGGCGAACCACTGGCTAAAATTATTTGTTTTTGTCTTAAAATATGCATAACCGGCGACAGCATTTTTAACGTTGAAATATAATTTATTAAATATTTTTTTGAGATAATAATTTCATTGGCGGCAAATTTTTATGGACAGCTTATATCATATAAATACAATTTAGAGTTAATATGCCACAGTATACCTCTGATACAGATTACAGATACATTGACAGTAGTCGTACTTGACGTTGACAATTTCAGGAAATATGACATTTGAATGATGTGACATGGTAATATTACGGTTAGCTAAGCTTGTGGTTAGTAGCTACGTTTCTAATTTCTTCTAATTAATAAACTTTTGAAAACCTATAGCTCTAAAAAGTACTCTCATAGATGTATGTAGGACACAATCGCCCTCATTGTGACAATGTCTGACTCGGAAGGCAGCAATTACTCGGGCAGTGGGTCTGAAGCAGGCAGTGTTGTGTCTAACCGATCAAGAAGAAGTGCTGTATCAAATCGTTCAGCAAGGTCTCGATCGGTTTCGAGGTCTCGTTCGAGATCGAGATCTCAATCTGGAAGTCGAAGCCCAAGCCGATCGCGTAGTCCATCGAGGTCCCGATCTAGATCTAGATCTCGTTCCAGGTTAGAAGTCTGATTAAACATAGTTTTGTTATGCCTTACCTTGTCATTAGTCCGAATGATAAGAAGATGAAGATGTACTTTGCTTTGTATACTTATCATATTAGTAGTACATTATAATTTATTGTAAAGTGTAGTTACATTGATTATAATGAAATGTATAAGCTTAAAATTACAAATTATCATTATATTGGTAATAGTAAGACTGGTCGCATGGTCTCAGCACTGCATCTGTTGTCTATAATCTATATGAAAAATAGGTTTACTTAGGAGTGATATTTTTCTAGTTAGATAAAAAAAAAAACAATTATAGGTGAACAATACTTACTTTTATTAGTAGTTTAAGCAACTAACATCTTATTAAAAGTCAATGGTTAAAACATGGTTATGGTAGAGTAAAGTATCCAATACTTTAGGTAATAGTTAAAAAGTATTAATAGTATGTTAAATGATATATTCTGCATTTAAAGCTGTTTTTTTTTATAATATGGGCAATACCTGTCCTCAAATGGTTTACACTATTACATTAGTAACTGTACTCTTTAATTTACAAATTTAACAATTTAACAATAAAACTGAGCCTATTTTTGCCCAAAGCTAGCCAAAGAAGTCTGGCAAAGAAGTTTATTTAAAAACAATCACTATTCTATTTTTTCTATACTTTGATATATTCAATGTACTTCTCAAACTATTTATATTACTGTATTATCAATAAGTAATATGTATTGGTATTATATATATATAACTTATTATATGATTATTATTGTATTTACTAATTAATTGTATTGTTACATCCTAGAAGTCAATCAGTTGAATCTGGAGGTAGAAATAGAGATGATGAGGCTAAAGAAGCATCTGGAGATGAAGAAGTAGAAGTAAGTTGGTGCCTTTATTATCAGTGGTTATAATTAGCAGAAAAAAATATTTTCAGCTTTAATAAAGTTAGATGTTTAGCAGTTTAGGATCGATTTGCATTACTTCTTGGTTAAAATTTTTATTTTTCCTGTTTTGTACTAATAAATACAATTAAAAGATACAAATGTATGTTAAGTGCTTTACCATTATAGCAAACATATTTTGTCTTATGTCCTAGTTCCAAAATATTGATTTATGATCCTTGTTTAGGATGAACAAGAACCTGAAGGTGATGATTTAGTAGACTCTGAGGAATATGATGAAGATGAGGAGGAAGAGCGAAGAAGGAAGAAAAGAAAGAAAGACAGTAGATATGGAGGGTTCATTATTGATGAGGCTGAGGTATGTTTAATAAAATAAAACTAGCTTAAACTTGATGTAGACAAAGAGTTTAAGTGGTAAACATAATGTAACTATGTATATTTATCATTTATAGGTTGATGATGAAGTTGATGAGGATGATGAATGGGAAGAGGGTGCGCAAGAGATGGGTATTGTAGGCAATGAAGTTGATGAAATAGGACCTACGGCTAGAGAAATTGAAGGTCGGCGCAGAGGAACTAATCTATGGGATTCTCAAAAAGAAGAGGAAATCGAAGAGTACCTGCGCAATAAGTATGCAGATGAATCAGCAGCGTTTAAACATTTTGGGGAGGGTGGTGAGGAAATGTCAGATGAAATTACCCAACAAACTCTTTTACCTGGTATCAAGGACCCTAATCTCTGGATGGTTAAATGTCGTATTGGAGAAGAAAAAGCTACCGTTCTTCTACTTATGAGAAAGTTTATTACATACCAGTTTTCAGAAGAACCATTCCAAATCAAATCTGTTGTTGCACCTGAAGGTGTCAAGGGCTACATCTATGTAGAGGCTTATAAACAAACACACGTCAAAGCTATCATAGATGATGTTGGAAATCTTAAGCCAGGTATATGGAAACAAGAAATGGTCCCTATTAAGGAAATGACAGATGTTTTAAGAGTTGTTAAGGAACAATCTGGCTTAAAGCCAAAGCAATGGGTCAGGCTGAAGAGAGGTCTTTACAAAGACGATATAGCCCAAGTTGACTATGTAGATTTAGCTCAAAATCAAGTTCATTTAAAACTGTTGCCAAGAATTGACTATACAAGACTAAGAGGAGCCTTAAGAACAGTTCAAAGTGAAAGTGAAGCAGCAAAACGTAAAAAGAAACGCAGGCCAGCAGCGAAACCATTTGATCCCGAAGCTATTAGAGCTATTGGAGGGGAAGTAACCTCAGATGGTGACTTTTTAATATTTGAAGGAAACAGATATTCAAGAAAAGGCTTTTTGTATAAAAACTTTACTATGTCAGCAATTCTTGCTGAAGGAGTTAAGCCAACTTTAACAGAATTAGAAAGGTTTGAAGAACAGCCAGAAGGCATTGACATTGAACTGGCCGCACCGGCTAAAGACGATCCTACAAGTTTACATTCATTTTCTATGGGAGATAATGTTGAAGTATGCTCAGGAGATCTTGCAAATTTACAGGCGAAAATTATAGCTATAGATGGTTCCATGATAACTGTTATGCCTAAACATGATGCTTTAAAAGATCCCTTAGTCTTTAAACCAAATGAACTTAGAAAATACTTTAAACAAGGAGATCATGTAAAAGTTCTGGCTGGTAGATATGAGGGGGATACAGGTTTAATTGTAAGAGTAGAGCCTCAAAGAGTTGTTCTTGTATCAGATTTGACTATGCATGAATTGGAAGTGTTGCCTAGAGATCTGCAACTATGCTCAGATATGGCAACTGGAGTAGATTCGCTTGGTCAGTTCCAATGGGGTGATATGGTGCAGCTTGATCCTCAAACTGTGGGGGTTATTGTGAGATTAGAAAAGGAAAACTTCCATGTCTTAGGTATGCAAGGTAAAGTTATAGAATGCAAGCCCCAAGCTCTGCAAAAACGTCGTGAAAATCGTTTTACCATGGCTCTCGACTCTGAACAAAACTCTATACAGAAAAAAGACATAGTAAAAGTAATTGACGGTCCTCACGCAGGGCGTGAAGGTGAAATTAAGCATTTGTATAGAAATTTTGCATTTTTGCAATCGCGAATGTACCTAGATAACGGTGGTATTTTTGTTTGTAAAACACGACATTTGCAGTTAGCTGGCGGAGCTAAGAATAATGCGACGGCAAATGGACTCGGCTTAGGTTTCATGTCTCCGCGTATTCAATCGCCGATGCATCCATCTGGCCGAGGTGGAGCCAGTGTCAGAGAGAGAGGTCGCGGCGGAAGGGGTGGAATGGTTGCCAGGGATCGGGAGCTCCTAGGTGTGACAATCAAGATCACAGGCGGTCCGTACAAAGGCAACGTGGGTATTGTAAAAGACGCTACCGCCAGTACGGCGAGAGTGGAACTTCACTCTACGTGTCAGACTATTTCTGTAGATCGCAGTCACATAGCTGCTGCAGCAGGATCCACCGGAGTGGCAAGAGGAGGAACATCCAGGTGGGTTTTAAATTTTTTTCTAGAATCAGTAGTAGTTCTATCCTTGTTCTAAAAAAATAATTCAATGGTTTGTCTATACATTTTAATATGTTTCTACTATTGTTTGTATTAATTCATTTTGTGCACTAAATGCTCATATTGACGCCATCTCAAGCCATATTAATTATTTCCAGTTACGGTCGTACGCCGATGCGAGCATCAGGTTCCCATACGCCGACATACCGCGACACTGGAATCAAGACACCCATGCACGGTTCCGCCACTCCTATCTACGAGGCTGGGAGTCGAACTCCGCATTACGGTTCAAGTACTCCAGCTCACGAAGGTGGAAGAACGCCTGCTCATGGAGCTTGGGATCCAACAGCTGCCAATACTCCTGCAAGACCAGACTTCGATTATGGGCTTGATGATGAACCACCAGCTACATATGAGGGCACTTCGTATACTCAGGTAAATACTAATATATTAATATCCTGGCAACCATAGCATAAACTAAGTCGTCTTCAAAGATTTCGTCATGATTTTTCACTTGCCAATATAGAATAATTTGTATATTTTCGTTCTGTTACTTGTTAATTGACTTAAGAAGGTCATTTTATAAAGACATTACCTTAATTCTGTTTTGTAGTCTTCCATAGATGTGTGAAATTATTACATATTATCTTACTTTCTTAGGGTCCATTCACACCCCAAACTCCCGGAACAATGTATGGGTCAGACCACACATACAGTCCCTATCGTCCCAGCCCCAGTCCCAGTGGTTACACTGGAGGTTATTTGGGTACGCCGAGTCCAGGGGGCTACTCTCCTCGTTCACCGTACGCTGGGGGCTCTCCGACTCCAGACTGGCACGCGCCTGACCTTGAAGTGCGGGTTAGAGATAGTGGTGATGGTCTTGGAGGGCAAACGGGCGCACTACGTGGTGTCAGCGGTGGTGTTTGTACTGTTTATTTGCCGCAAGAAGATCGCTCTGTGAGTCTTCAGGCTGATCTATTGGAGCCTGTTGTGCCACAGCGTGGAGACAAAGTTAAGGTATGAATAGCTCCAACACTCTTATACTCTCTAATATTACTTCGAGAATCATTTATTTTTCATCTTCGCAAAAGCCTCATGCATATCTATCATAAAAATTTGGGTATAATTTTAAATTATTACCTTGAATTGTTAAGCACAAGTTCTGAATTTGATTTCGTATATAATACATTTCTTATACAGGTTATATAAGAATCCGTACCAGATAATAACTGCCTGATGTGAAACAGAAATGTGAGATAACATAATATAACATATTTTAAATTACAGGTTATATCTGGCGACGACCGCGAAGCCGTGGGCCAGCTGATCTCGATCGAAGACAAAGAAGGCGTGGTTAAGTTTGTGGGTACGGATGACATCAAGATTATGCAGTTGCGCCGACTATGCAAAATGGCCAACGTTTAACTTTTGAATCATTTGCCTCGGGGAATTTTACTGGCGTAATACCAATAATAACATATTAATCAAGCAATATTCTGGATTTATTTTGCAACACTGTCATAAAATAAGAACTCTATTTTAGTAAATATATCCGGTGTACGATATAAACAGTTTGACTTTATTAGGGATCCTTTAGTTAATTTAATAAATGCCTTCTGAATATTAATCTTTCTTTTAAATTTATACTACAACAACTATGTATTATAACAACAAGCTTATGTATTTCCACAATAAACTACGTATTGATCTCTAGTTTCTTAATAAATATTAATTATAGTTAATATACATTAAAACGATAATATGATTTTATTAACATTATTTATTGAATAAATAATACAAAAAATGTTTTCAGTTGAAACATTAAGTTTTCCAAACGAAAATAAACTGAGCAAATGACCCCTAAACACATTGATTAACATTCAAGTTTCACTCAATTTAAAACAACATCGAAAATTATGTCGCTACCGTGACAGTAGCGTACACGCACATAAATATATTGATGAATTCTATATTTGAATGAAGTCTAGATAACAATAGTCAAGTGACATGGATACGCACAATAGCGTCCTGTAATGTATTTATGAAAGAAACATATTGCACAGAGTTAAAAGACTTAAATGCGTATCCATATTATCCAAAAATAATAATCATTAGACCACTTTAAAGAGATCAAGATTGTAGTAAAACAGCTCTAAATGCCTGAAAATGCTTAGAAATGCTTTAAATATTATTTTCGTTAGTAAATGGGTAGACCATACAAATCATGAAAATTGTAATTCTTTTTATTTTCAATTATAGAATTGCAATTTTCTATTTTACTTTTTTTAATTATTTATATATTTTTTTACCAATATTATTTGACGTAGGATCGTACAGATTTTATTTATGGAATCTAAAATAGTTTAGTAGAGACCAGCCAATAATATATACATCTATTTAACAAGTTGTTAATAAGAGCCAGCTTCACACAACATAGAATCCCGTTTCAGACTCTCAATTAGTACATTCGCCTAATACAACTAATTTTGGTTATACAATTATGCTTAACAAGCATACATAAGTAATGAACTGGAAGATAACCAGCAAAACATTTAGGACACAGGTACTTATGAGCTATGTCTCTAGTGAATAATTTCTTATGACATGCATCAAAATTTACACAATGTTTTGCATTCCCCTACGAGCAGTTGTTACAACAGTAGCATGCTTTCTCGACTCTCTAAGTACTAAAACGATTGCTTATATATAAAATTATTGTATCTGTACCAATAAACCTTTTTGACACAAATAAGGCTGCCTCGAAAGATAATAGGCCAATTTCTTCACACATGCCGCACGATAGACATTAACATATAATAATTTAGTATGTCGGTTATGGCAATGGGTATTTTTAAAATTTTAGATTCACCGTGCGGCATAGAGCACTTCATTTCTCACTTGCGTTTTTATTAATATCATCAGATCTAACACATAATATACATTGTTATGTAAGACAGAAGCTACAAATATATCGAACATTAAGAATTTAGACTATCTTTTATCATAATAAATATTTACAAGTAGATTAATAACTAAACGAAATTGATGATCTTAAACTAAGATGATATCTGGATATTGTTACAATTATTATGGACTACATGACCGATAGAGTTTTAACAGAGTTTTCGAGCTCAGCTCTTTTACCGATGTATTAGAAATAAAATCAAACATTTGCCTAATCTTCAAACCTTAGTCACAGTTTTATTACATTTTTGGCATACAACTAATTTTACAAACATCTTAAGAATATGTGATGCATGATATACAAATAAAATTTAATCTCAAGCAACATAACATAATATTTATACAACCATTTACAGGGGGAAGCATTGCGTTTTGTAGGCAACAAATTGATATTTTGGTTCCGTGAGTTGAATCGCAAGTTCTCATGAAAGGAAAAATAACAATGTTTGTTGCCTAACCTCACAGAGGTACAAAAGTGAGAAACCGACTTCAAGAGAGGAAAAGACATTTTAAACTTAACGTCTGAGATCGAAGTCGATGGAAATAATAAATAACACCAGCGTCAGAACACTTCGTTGGAGTATTTATCTGTCTTTTTACTTTCATCATTATTCACGCAAAATTGAGACACTACGACTGAATGATTTTACACAATACTCGGCTCAACAAAGTCCTAACAAATCTACAAACGAATAACTAAAATACAGTTAATTTTATAATTATGACTTCAAAAACTAATAAATATTAATTCCCTCCTCAAATATAATATTCATATGCATATCTCAATGTTGCAAGAACGTGTTCATGACTCCGGAGTGTGCGGTTGTGTGATTGTACCTCATGAAGCATACATGCGTTTAATGTCTTCCTTGTAGCGTTCCTGGATGTCTTTTCGCTTGATTTTGAACGCGGCTGTCACCAATCCCATATCAGGCGACCAAACCTCTGTGCAAAGTTTCACTGCTGCCGGCACTTCGAATTTCTCTAAGCCGCCTGAAAAAAATAATTTCGAGTTAATCAAAGTTGGTATTCGGTTGGTCATACTTTAAGTATTGTCTGTAGTTACGCGAATTCCCTCGGGACCACGGCTGCTGTAGTCATTTAATATGTCGTCTCGTAGTTAAAATATGGTAACTAATATATTTCGCGTTTTAAACCGTTAAAAGTGTTAAATAATGTTTATTTACTTTACCATTACCGCTTCCCTCTAACAAACTTACAGATATACTAACGTAGATTTTTCCATAGACAAATTATTATAAAAAATAAACAAGTTTACTTACATTTCCTCGCGTGATCAGCCAGCTCCTTAACAACGGCCTTCTCCACCTCATTGTTTTGACAAAGCTGATCAAAGTCCATCTCTGGCAGGCCGATCCTCGCCGCTAGTTCCGCCAAGTGCCTCGGATTAGGGACGAGCAACGCAACGGTGTACATTTTTGAGCTGTCACCGTAGACACAGATGTTCTCAACTATCGGGCAGGTCTTAAGTTCAGCTTCCACTTTGCCCAGTGACACGTACTCGCCTGCTTGTAGCTTCACTAAATCCTTTTTACGGTCTGTAAATGCAAATAGAAAGATCTTGATCACTTATTCTCTTTATGTAAATCTAAGCTTTATTAGTTAGTCTTTAGATATGAAACCATATCCTGGTATCGAAAAATGTGAAATGCGATATATATATATTGAGAGGAAAGAGTGTTGCGGCAAAGTAGCACTTGCAACATAGATTGGCTGCGATAAATGCACAATTACATAAATTAATAAACAGCCTAGATAATTCAAAATTCTACCCCATGCGAACCACCACTCACTATTCCCCGCGCACGAAGTCGCGGGCACAGCTAGTACTATATATATATCGGCGCAAAACAGGCGATTCGTTGCGTCATCGCTGCACGTGTTCCTAACGGCGTAAACAAGTGACTCACGTCGGTCGCTCCACTGAAATCCCCCACTACGTGCTTATATAAGGCCGTCCGTTGTAGCGCAGGACACTTTTGGAAGGACGGCGCTCTCAGAGCGAACGTCTAGTCTATAGCTATTTTTATTATTCAATTATAAAAGTGTTTCAATAGTAAAAATGGACCACTCTAACAATATTGACAATTATGACGTCGGTGCTGCCGACGTCACCAATTTTAAAAACAATTCTGCACCACATACTTCGACATATATATCTATTGAATACCAGCTGTTACACTGCAAATACACACCTATGATTTTGATACAGCCGTCATGGTGCAATTCTCCAATGTCTCCAGATCGGAACCAACGTTTCCCACCAACATCTATGAACTCCTCGCGACTCTTCTCGGGGTTTCTGTAGTAGCCTTCCGCTACACTGTCACCGCCGATGACTATTTCGCCCTGATAGAATAATCATTTTTATTTAAGTAAGTTGGTACTTCTATTAGAGTTAATAGGTAAATAAAAAAATACCGATTTCGAACCGAAGTAACTAATTAAAATTAAGATGCGACTACTAAGTCCAATTTTGTTTGCCAATAGAGAATTTGCATGAATATTCAAAGGTTATAAGTAATATTCAGAAAGCAAGCTTACTTGAGGGAATGGCTTGTTTCCGACTCGGTAGTTTCCTTCCTCCCAGTTGACTAGCTTAATATCTGTACCAGTGGTGGGACCACCGACACGACCAGTTGATCTAAAAAGAAATGAAATTAAATTAGAAACTAATTAATGGTAATTCAAAACCTAAAGGTATATATGTAATAGTAATTCATTATAGCTTGTCGTTATGTTATAAGTAATCTTATTAAAATACTAAGTGAATACCTATATAGAAAGGAATAGAATAAAAAATGAATACACCATCTTCTGCAAAAGATAGCTTCTCAGCATCGTTGGTATTGATGTCCCAACACTGGTATTTTAGGACGATTTTCAATAAAAAACATTATTTTGTACCTGTCCTGCATATCCATGATGGTAGCGGAAGACGTCGTCTCCGTGAGTCCGTACCCGGCGATCACATCGCAGCAGAGACATAACCGAACTTGCGTGTGCGTGTCCGGTGCAAGCGGAGCCCCACCACCTATCATCAGACGAACTTTTCCACCAAGCAGTTGACTTATTTTCTTGAAGACCTGTATAAATTGACGTTTTTATATATCAAACAATAGATGGAAACAATCTATTGTTTCCTTAGCATTTAGGACATAACACAATGGTGTAGCACGTTTAACCATTTGGCTACAGAGGCGGTCCGGTTCCTCCTGCCTGTATTTACCGCTAATGAAAGAATTTCACTTAAGAAAAAATCAATGACGTTTTGTGCGTTGAGTGTGATATAAAATTGTTTTAATTTTACAGAAATAATTCAAAAGGCATGACATGTTTAAAATTAACTAACCACTTTGTTAAGTAAGGGCGTGTCGTATCCACGCTTCATCCACCCTTGCTTGTACGAATAGGCCCACTTGAAGAAAGCGTTGGCGAATTCCCCGCTTCGCGAGACTTTGTCCGTTATTCCTTTGCTGATACGGTCCATTATTAACTAAAATAAAAGAAAAATACATACATTCAATTACAGTTCCTTATTACGTAGTTAGCGGTTTAAAACACGATCGCACTGAGACTGCTGCAAAGCATCAGAAATATCGGGCCATAATTAAAATAAATTTGTAAATAAGTCAACATATATTTCTCGTTTTAAACCGTTAAAAATGTTTTTTTTTATAAATTTCTAGTTTATTAATGAAGTCTACCAGTACCCTATTACATATTATCTTTTACACAATATTGACGCAAAGAATTTTACAAAGAAAAAGATTATAAATATATGATACTAACAGGTACAGTTGTGATGCAAGTTGGTTGTAAGATTGTGGCGTCTCCTTTTGTGCCTTTCATGATTTTGCTTGATGAGTCCAACATAGTGAGGGGTGACGAATATCCGATTGGTACACCTGTGTCAATATCAAATGTAATTTATGTGAGTCATACCGTTATATCGTATTTTATATTCCGTTGTATTCGTTGGTTACATACCTGCTATAACGCAAAGACTTTCAGCCAATAACTCGAACACATGCGCAAGAGGTAAGAAGCCCATGAGCATGTCACCATCAAAGATTGGCACTCCATCCGCGAATGACTTGAGTGTGGCGACCATGTTACGATGAGAAAGAACCACGCCTTTTGGCACGCCAGTTGATCCAGATGTGTACATGACGATGGCGGTGTCAGACGGGGAGGGGGCGATGAATTCTAAAATAAGAAATTAATTAGAGTAAGCATACAATGATGATTATGATAATAATGATTTGTTTCATGTAATTACAGAAACGTTTAACAAAGTTAACAACTTCAACTGTTATCAAATTAAATTACATTTGAAAACAAGCACTTACCAATTTTCGCCTGTTTTCCTTTTTCAATCACTTCCTTATACGCAATAATCTTGATACCAGTCTTAAACCCTTCTCTATCCGTTGTCTTCAGCTGGTCTTCCATAAAAATAATGGTGTCCACTTTGGGAGTCTTGGCTAGAATCTTCTTGAACTTCGGCAAAAGGTCGTGGGTTGTAATGACGGTGGAAACTTCGGTTTCGTTGATGCCGTGAGCAATAGCTTCGTCACCAAGGGTTGCGTAAATTGTCACCACTTAAAAAAGAAATAATATTTTAAGACAAGGTTTATTGCTCAAACATAAGTTTAAGTTAACTTAATTAGAAGGGAAGGGAAAAGGAATCATATACCTTTGTCTTGCATACAGTCAAAAATGCTATCATAGAGTAAGTACTATCATAGAATAAATAAAAACTATTTCTATGGATCAATAATCTATGATTTTTATTTGTTTTTTAAGCCTTTTGAAACTTAATCATTTTTAACTTAGATATATAGGACATTACGAAGGCATTTAAATATAACACTTTTAAATGTTTGATACGCAAATTATGCTAGTGAAAACTTCTTTACAAATGATTTTAACTACGGCCCGATGTTTCAGCCGCGATCACAGAATCTCAGTTGTTTGAATCGGTTACAAGTGTTTTGTACGAAGATGATCTAGGGGACATGTTAAAATTTCCTGTTGGATTGGATTTTTTGTTGGCTACACCGCACGTATCTATTTTATCATTAGCCGAAGCCTTACAATCGCTCTTTATTCTTAAATAAAGCATAAAAGAGAATAAAAAATAGTACACAGAGATAAAATGTCTGATAAAGAAACTGCCCCCTTGACACCATCTTCAGCGCACTTGACACAAAGTTCACTGAAATATCTTTTAAAATAACCCTTTGTTAGGCCTTCCACGATGTACCCTCGTATTCGTTAATTAAAACTTGTTATGCATTCGCGAGAGCTAATTAGATCATGACTTGTCCTGATTAAACATTAACCTCGTTAATTAATAATTGTCATGAGAAACGCTTATAGTAGATAGCTGTTATTTTCAATTATTTTTCTGCTTTCTTACATAGTTAATGCGCTGTCGTCCTATTTTGGGTTTAAACATTGAATTCCTTTTGAAAACTATTGTTATTGCACATGATAGCAAATATTATAAATTTAAAATCGATTTTTAATTTATTATGAATTACTTGCTTTACCGCCTCTGTAGGTAGACGGTTATACGTGTTGCCTAGCAGTGCGTTAAGCGCGAGGGGTTCGAATCCCCGGGAAACAATATATTGTTTCGGTCGGGCTGGGCCTGTCTTATTAACTACTTGCCTGAAAATAAATTCGATCAGTGTAACGGCCACATAAATTTGTATGCCCCATGCCTCACGGGAGAAAACGGGATTTTACTTTTTATGAATTAATTAACAATTAATTTTTAAATCGAATATAGAAACTCGAGGTTAGGTAAAAACAATTTTAATTGTCAAACCGACTTATATGTAAATATCCATCGCATTTATTTATACGAAGAGTACTTCAAAATGGCATTAAACCTGTCATGCCCTCGTGAGTCATTCTGTTAAATGGTGGTATTGCCCTCTTAGCTAAGTTTTTATTTACACAATAATAAAATCTAACGTAAACATTAATAGCCCGTTTTTATGAATGGGTTTATTCATTACTTAGTAAGCATCTATAATCGTTTGGCTAGTAAGAAAAATACGCTAGACGAGGGAAATCCTTTTTTTTTTCAGATTATTGCCACAATTACAATAAGAAGTAATTATCACATAAGAGAATTAACTATTAGAGAATTATTTATTAAGTTTTATTGTATTTTTTTTCTAATCATGTGTGCATTGTTGGTAATCACTACAAAAGATTATATATCTACTTTCCCATCTTAAAATTATTAATGGACTATTTAAAACTAACTGCTTCAAGGCTCCATGACTAAACGAGTGATTTAATAAGTCGAGTCAGTAAAACAGACGCAGAATGTCTTATAACGAATACAGACGTGCAACGAATTATCACTTACCACACCTACAAATTACTTTCTTCGAGTGACTTCAATTCAACATATAAATAAATCATTAAAACAGCAATGTAAAATTTGAAACCAAAAAAGCGCTATTATTCTGGATTGTCTCGAAAAGTAAAATTAAAGTTCACCCGGTTTTGAGATTGTTTACCTTAAACCACAGATTTTATTGTATATTAATATTAGTACATAACATACATATTCAAGTTAAAGTAAGCAATGATCTATACATAATACATGAGTTACCGTTGTTTTTGCAAATTATAAGCATTGTTACAGACATCCGAAAAGAAAACATCCCAGAAAATATTACATAGTTAAAAATCGAAAAATTATGACGCGGCCAGGATTTGAAACGGCCTCCACAGCGTTCCATACTGATGCTCTAACCAAATGAGCTGCAGTGTCATGTCTTGCTCGTGTCGTAGTTTTTTTTTTTTAATTTATAATCGATTTTTATTTATATAGTGCCATCATGTGCACGTACAATAACACATGAATAATATTAAAGTTTTCAAATCTTACATAGTGATACATTATTACATAGCTGGACTTACCAGGTATGCTCTGCTTAAAACAGCCATGAGCAGCTATCATCCACTCAGCGCGGGTCTCCGCAAACATGGCAATATTCCGTTTGGGTTGACATCCCAGGTCCCGTAATCCAGCCGCAAACCAACCTGCTTCTCTTTCCACATCGCTGTGAGACCGCCAGACGTAGTCGCCCATGTTGTACTATAATACAACAAGATAAAACATTAATTATATTCCTTTAAACGGGTTTAAACCCGAGATAAATGGCATCTGACGTTCTATATTATTTCAGAAGTGTAGGCAGTTATTCTTAGTTGTCGCTGTCGTTGTCTTATTTAGGAACATTAATTCTTAGAATTATTCCGTATGTAGCGGGTTCGATGTAATAATAATTATTATAGATTCCAAAATAGCGCATAAGCGGATTTTTTAATAAAACACTAAAAAAAGTTTAAAATTCCGTTACCCCCGTGGGGCATGAGGCGAACATATTTCTATGTCCATTGCACTGTTCGGCTTTCTTTGCGATCAAATGTTCCATCTACAATATTCGACGTACTTGTCGTCAATACTGCATAGCCTGTGGACCCCCTAAAAATCTTTTTTACATATAATAAAGATTTTCACATTGCACCTACCTTTTTAAAGACGCGTCCATTCGGCTGTGGTTCGTCCTCTTCGCTGAGCACAGTCCTCGTGCCAAGACAATCTCTGTCTTGCCACCTGGCAGCGGCCGCTCGCAGCATGCTCTCCATGGTGGTAACATTGTCTCTAACCAGCCTCAAGTGTAGATCACACGATGTGGCAACTGACCGAACGGTAACACTGTCTTGAGTTGACTCTACGATTCGGGCCTGGAATTTTAATGGCTTTAATGAATGTGGGGGACCAACGAAACGAAGAAATAGTACTAATAATGAAGTGTTATAATTTTAATTTTTTATATTTATGAACGAACTTCTCAGCTATAATATAATAGTACTGAATGTATAATATTTGTCATTTAAATTATAGCGTTTCATTCTCAGTATAGTATTGATAACAATCGACGGATTAGTAAACATGTGAAAGCAAGGCCCGAGGTAAATTCCGATATTTGTCATTTAGGGAAGAGAATAGTGAGGGTTTCATTCCCTATAAACGTTGAGGTATTATTTTGACATTTATTAAAAAAAATATCGATTCAATAATAATTGAATGAATGATGATTTTTGTAGAAGGCATAATATTTCCTCTTTGAAAGAATAAACCCCATGCTCAAGACAAAGAGAAAATTAATAATAGTCACTCACTACTTATATTTACCTTAATTCTACGTGACATAGCACGTTTCCTCCATGGCCTCTGGAGAACTAGATGTAATGGGAAGGATAGTATATCGTAAACGAGGACTACCGCGCGGATCGTCTGTAGAACAGCTGAGACCCACCATGACTCCGGTCTGTGGACATAAAAATACTTCGCTATAAAATCTGTTTTACATACTTCACTATAATACTCTTTTTCTCGAACTCATTCGTGCTGAGGTAAAGATCTTAAGTGTATTTAGGAAGACTAGACGGGAAAACAACAAATACTATTTATCGTAAAACAAAATCGACCTTGACCGTCGATCCTTGATCTTGACGTCGACGCAGAGTAATCATTCAATCGTTTGGAATTCATTGTCATGAGGAAGACGGACGTATACTAAATAAGACTTTGGCTATCGGCGCTTATAACACGAGGAAATTATTCTACGGAAGTAGGTATCTCTTCGCGTGTTACAAAGGTTTTATATTTTAAAGCATTTATGTCAAAATTAACGCACGGGACTTAAACCCACGTCCACAGCGTTCCGTGTAGTTGCTCTACCAATTCTATGTCTTATCTACTTAATGTTATACATTTGAAGAGTTTGTTTGGTGATTTGAGTTAAACTCAGGAACTACTGTTCGGAATTAAAAATGTTGTGTTGATTGGGGCATTTATCGATGAAAACTTTAGGCTATAGGTAGACCATCTTACGACTTGTAGGAGCGAAAAATAATTGTTTATAGTTTCCATTAGGTGCGCTGTTAAAACGGTTCAAGATATTAAACAAATATGCACAAAGGAATTGTTCTTCTTTAAATAATCTAAGAAAACTTCTGCGTCCGATAAGAACCGTTTTAGTATGCATTAAAATGCAAGAAATATAATGATAGTACATAGAATATACGAAATAACTATTTGAATTTAACTAGAAAATCAACAGTGACTTAAGGATTAATTACGAAACCCAGTATTAGTCTATCGTACTAATAAGAGGTTCAGTTATCGCGATGCTTGGCCTACTTTGGAGTTACACAAGCGATGATTAGCTTCGATATTAGCTACTGTTGACTAAGACGTAGTGACCGATAATCTATATTATACACGTGACACCGCCTTAAGTAGGATATTACCTACAAATGCTGACCTCCAAAATTTATAAGTAATGTGTTTATTGTCTAGTAAAAATATATGAAAACACAACTTTACATTTTGAGCCATTGGTTTTATTGTTTCTTGTGAAAAAATACTATGTCGCATTTTGTTTCTACTATATTTTGGTAATAAATAATAAGTATCTATAATAACAATAAAGCCTTTATTTTCCGAAATTTACATAGTATGCCCATGTCAATGAAACTTAATAAATCATACACCCTGCGATGTTCTTCTAGTGATATTTTCTCATTTTACATCAAAAATAACTAAAATATTGTGTTGTATTCGCATATTTAGTCTTAGCCATCGTATGGTCCTGTGACCGCTTCTCGTCTCGCATAATTTCAAAATATATCTTTATCTCTCTTTATCAAATTCTATATCTTTTCTAATTATTTTTTTTATTCCATTAAGCTTTCTTTTGTCCTAAAAGTTCTGGTTTTTAGTATTTAAATAATTATCTATAAACTAGTAAAATAGCTACAACACATCATCTAAGCAATTATGGAAAATAAAATATTAAAAACTTGAGATGAACGCATGAGGTAGGTGAAGAACATCCCGCGAACGTTTTTCTAATTAAATTACAGCATACTCCGACAATGACAGCCCGGATGGAGCCAGAGCATTCTCTCATGAATGGCTCAGATAATACACGCATGCGCATCCCTTCGCCCTGGGGTCACGGTCGCCTCGCGGCATCAGCAGTCGCATCCGACACTGACCTAGCAATCCTATTTGCAGCACACACCAATATTGATCGATGTGCATCCGACGCTTTTTATGCGCCCATTGAGACTTGATCATAATGTTTTGACGGCACTTTATTCAAAGGAAATTATTAGTTCAGTTCGATGTTTTGAATTGGTGATAATATTGATATAACTTAGCACTTGTAATATACGCTAACTTAAAATTCTTCGTGCGGAATGCGTAAATTGATTGGTTTATATAAAAGTAAGTACATATTACAATATATGCAACTATAAATAATAATTACAAATATCAGAAATAATAAAAAGGAAAATATTTTTCCATATGCACAGTGCGGTCATAGGAATAATCTTCCTCGTATTTGACGCAAATTCACTGACGTGATTTTAACAAACTAACTGTCATCTCCTGCAGGTAGTAGGTACCACATAAACTTGCAATTACTATAATTGTCTGATCGCAGACCTTGGGGGGAACTAACCTTGCTAGTCGGACTTTGATCTTGTGAACATACCGGTACAAAAACCTTACTTTATTATGTTGTGTTTAGATGAATAAAAAATGTACGAGTTACAAATAAATCTTCCGCAAAAGAAATCCGTCAATCATTTGATCCTTTTTATGTACACAGTAATCACTACAAATAATTTATGTTATGTTTATGTCGAATTTATTGAAACAGCCCAAACTTGTATGAAATTTTAATCCATCGTATCTGGATTTTCGGCTTTGAGGTTAAAAGTACTTATGGGCCCTCAAAATATTCTAAGACGTGACAATATTCAATAGATTATTAAAATCGTTCGCCTAAAGGAACGACACTGTCATTGACTTGACAATTTGACGATGTAACATACTTTACAAAATTATAATGATTCAAATAACAAAATGCTTTTGGAGTTAACTATCAATTAAAAGAGCTAAATTTGTTAAGAAATTGTCAACTTAGTTGAAGCCCCTCTCGGGATTACAACTTAAGAGGCGAAGTACAGGCCACGGAAAGCAGCGATGCGGTTCCAAACGCCGATGCACGCGGTCAGGCGAAACCGTGCCGCGCGGACGACTTTCGCCGCTACGCGACGTATTTAGCAACTGCATTGTACGAGTACGCGATTTTACGTAATAGCCAGTTTATTTGGGGACAAAGTTTGCACTTTCATTTACAGTAAGGAATAGGTTCGTTGACACTTTAAAAATATGCTCATGTATTATATAAATCATCTCTAAGTAACCGATTTTTTTTTCCTTTGGTCTTTACAATAATTAAAAAGAATTCAAGCATATAATCATTTAAAAGATATAGAAAACTATAAATAACTAAAAAACTTTTAGTTACGATTAATACAACAACGAAAACGATATAAAAAATAGACTTTTGAAGACGATAACATATAGAATTTAAATAAACTTGTATACAGCAATAACCAAGACAATCCCACAATCAACATATGATCATATTAACACCGTTTTTATATAGATATATAACGTATAAGTCGTAGACAACACGTGAATATTAATTACAGCAAGTACGACTTTCAATGTCAAGGATTAATCATAACATTGAAATGTATTAGCGAAATATTTAACCATGTCCGACTTTCTCATAGATGGAAGTAAAGAAAATTCGGTATAGACAACAGAGATCTACATTTTTTTAAGGTTTAAGCAATCACGACACAGAGTAAAAATGTAATAATAATTAACTCACTTTTTATTATAAATACTCATATTTTCAGAGAATGTTCCCAACTTCCAGACGCGCTTACACTATACTGGAACTTGGATAACATAAGGAGTATTATATGCTGGTGGACAATGATAAGATAACCATATCAAAGACCTAGTGTTATCTGTTAATAACCGATAAAAAGATATAGAAACAGAAAGCGTAGATTTATTGGTAATCAGAAGTGCCAAACATACATTGAACTCCAAAACAATAGTACTTCTACTTCGTAAATCAGTGACCGCCACTGTGGAGAATACATGATAAGAGGTTTGGAACAAGTCGTTCTAAAATACGAATTGAAACAATAACGAATAAACAAATAGAAATTTAGCCTCTAAAAAGCGATTCGTGAAACAGACACAGAAATTCTTATTATTATTTTTCGTAATATGGCACTACAATTTAATTCAATAAAAGTAAGGTGACTCGTATGTGCATATTTATAGGTCTAATGAATTCAGTAAAACACTGGACAACAAATGCATGTTGATGCTCTAATATACCTTGTCTCTGAAGATAAGATAAAAATTAACCCAAGTTCCGATTGGAGTACAACTTCATACTTATATTTTAACCTAGAAAAGTTAAATGGTCACCTGCTTATAGGGGCCTTTAACACATCAGTGATACAGCTGCAAAAATGTGTACCTTCAAAATTTTGTTCTACGAGTATAACTTATCTATATTTACATATATAAAGCTGAAGAGTTTGTTTGTTTGTTTGAACGCTCTAATCGCGGGAACTGCGGGTTCGAATTGAAAAATCCTTTTTGTGATGGTTGCATGGTGGAAGGCTATGAGCTATAAAACACGTTGCCCTGTGACTAATACAAGCGATACAGCGAGAAATGTGGAAAAAATTGGGAAAATTATTCATCATTATGGGTTTCCGACGCATATGCTGCAATAACGGCTCAAGATGATCTAAAAATAGCCAGCAATTCTATATGTCTATCTTTTAAGATTAACTTGCTAGAACGACGGGAAGGAACGCGACCGACAACAACAGTTTAGGTTTATAAAGATGTAGGGGTTTGCAAAAACGAATTTGGATGCCCAAAGTAACAATTCTCGCGGTCGTACTCGCTGACACAGATAGTTATACATATGAATAGTCAACTCACGTCTCATTCTCGTCTATAAACATTGCAGCTCTACTTTCTTAATCTGAAACAAAAAAGAAACCATCATAAAATTATTGATAAAAAGCTTTGTAACTTTGTATCGGTAATAAATACATCGTACGATTATAAAGTTATGTAATAATCAATAAGAAAGGATAAGCTTACAACATTGCACGTATAAATAATTGATTACAATCCATTCTTACTAACAAATAATTTAAGGAAATTAAAGTAGGTAAATAAAATACTGTGAGGTTCGTAAAATACACACGATATGTGTTTTAAACGTTAAAGCGTTATTTTTAAACTTACATATTGCGACTTGAATACACGAATGACCCCTTTTTATGGTGAGATAAAAGAGTGCACTCAAATTTATGTAAATCGTACATAGACAAAATCGTACATTAATTGAATAGTCAAACGAAATCTTCATGGAATACTAAGCACACCGCGTTGACCCACGCTTACTAGGGTCAACGGCATGAAGCCGAGCCCACTTGGCAAATTATAAAAATGACGAACTTAAAGCTCCATTTAACCCGACATAATTTCCTGAAATTTTCAGATGTCTACGTAAGAATATGGTGAAACAAGGCCTTCTATTCCTCTGGTGACCCAGACGGATTTGCGTCAGACTTTTTATTGTAATCGTCGGTTAGTATTATAACTGTATAATTTGAATGATGTGTGCGTTACATACATATGGATGTGAAGAAGCTCGCATTTAAAAGTGCATCAATACTATTTTGCTAATAGTACTGAAAACATATTGTAATGAAATCTTCTTCGGAAGCCTGGTATGAGGAAGGTGAACGGCTCTTGAGAGCATTTATTTTTGTTATGGCGAGTCAGATGTTGGTTATTATTAACAATTTCGTAAGATAAATCTTCTTATATCTCACACTGAATATATAAAAGGAATAAAATATGTCAATTTTATAAGTAGAAAGCAATAAATCTATTTTGAACAATTGAACATATAACAAGCAATTAGTAACAATTTTATTACTTATGTTATATATTGTTAAGACTTAATGATTGGTCGTAACTTGTCGTACAGGTATATGAGGAAAAATATTATACGTTAATGAATGCTTGACATTTTTAAACTATATAGCTTAGTACAACACATCAATAGTACATATGATATTAATAAAAAATACCTGAGTGATAAGAATAACATTAAAACAAGTATGGTACAATAATCACAATACATAATAAAATATACATTTCGTAAATTGTAAGCGTGGAAACTGTGCTATCCAGGTTATATTGAATACAGGTAACCTTGGCCTAATGGTGTAAATGCAGTTTTCTCAGTTATTTATTTTTCGTCAAACATCACAGTAAACACCTCTGGACCGTTGCCAAGATGAAAATTAACAATAGCCGGAAAACAAAAGCTATAGTCACCAAGAATCGAAGTTCCAACAAATCGGTTTTTATGAAAGTAGAACACTGTTGGTTTTAAAAGATACGAAAAAAACTCAATTTTTACTACTACTAGTTAATTCGTGTTGTTAGTTTTAAAATTATTATTTATTTATAAGATTATTCTTTATCCTTTACGGGTTCATACAGTTCAATTTGTTACAAGTAAAATATTAATACTTATAATTTTTTATATATTTAACTGATTGTATAGTTTAAATATTCAATATTTAGCAAAGTATAACATCTGTAAGGCACGCTCTTTCACAAAAAAAAGATTATATTAGGTATATATTTTGAATCATGAAAACTACTAAAGCACAAAACGTTAATATCTGTCTTGTATGTGACAATTGAGCACACAGAAAAAATATCATTTCTTTCTTAAGTGCTAATTTTTGTGTTTCAAGATTAATGAAGACAGTATTAAAGTTTAAAATTCAAACCTAAGCGAGAGTTACACAATGGAGGCTAAAGTCCACAGAATCCATTGATTGCTGTGTGGCGTTGTGGGTGACAAATCGAAACACACAGGGTTACTGCGAATTTATGAATAAGGAGGACAACAGATTATTTTTAGAAAGAAATTAAAAGGAATGTATAAAGACGTTAATTATCGTAACGTTATTTATCGAGCAACTCAGTTATATAAAACATAAAATGCTTTTCGGTATAAAACACGAAATATATTGTTAAATTAATTATAAGTTAATTATTAATATTAATAAATTTCGGGGAACGCGAAATTGCGTAAAACATCAGAACGCGACAGCTTAATAACTTTGTTTAATTATTAAGCAACTTAAACATTTCCAAGGCACTGGACTTGTGTGTCTTATTACATTCCAAGAGGTCGATACAACAATTTCAATTGTTTAAAAACTAAAAACCAATTAAAACTCGAGTTATATCGGCGTAGTGGAGTTTTCCTTTGTAAGCGATAACAAAGATTAAAAGCAGAAAGGTTCTGTTGAGTCGCAGCTTTATTAAATTTCAGTAAAATTAAGAATCAGTAAAATATTTCTGTGGATTAAAAAGCTTAGTATCCCTACAGTTACGATACGACATTGGGCATTGTAGCAATGACAACATGGACTTTGGACCAGCAGATTGTTTGATTTCCTTTGTTAACGTTGTTTACTATTGTCACAAACGATGTTACTTTGAATTGATATTTGGATAAAAGAATTCATAATTTTTAAAATAAACTCATGATCTAATGTACGAGTCCTTTACAAAATGAGGCCACGTAGTTCAATAAAAATACATTGTATAGTTTTGCGTATACGAAACTAATGATGTTAAAAAATAAAATTGTCCTATATACTGTTTTTAGTTTATGCGAGTAGTGCACATTGAAATGCCGGGTGCTTTGCTCTTGAAACGTCGGGCAGTTGTGGAAATAATTTTAACATATCTATCGCGTTTTAAACCGTTAAAGGATTTTATTGAAAGGTCCTATATATATGTCTAGGAATCCATGACCGGATTGTCTATCTAATAGCCTTGTCAGATGTTTCTACTTAGTTGTAATTTTTTTTTTCATTTTCCTCATTATAAAGCATATTAGTGCTATCACACTAACACTTAGATATTTTATTATTATATAGATTAAATTTAGCTGTAGAAAAACTTATATTATATATGGAATAAATACATAACGATTATATTTTGTACTCGAAAATAATAATTCATGACCTTAACTGAGTTCAAGGCGTGGTCTTTCACACTCGAAATAAAGTTATGAGTTTAATGAGTCAATAGTTAAACCGTCTAATTAATGTGGAATAATAATAAATAATGCCAAAACTCAAATATATGTTTTTAATCCACTAAGTTAAGTTAATTTTTTATTTCCACTTATTTTTATAAACTACCCACAGAACACACTGAAAAATTGTATTATTGTAAGTGTTCTGTGCCTTAATTAAGACGTGATTAGACAAACAACTTAAATAGCAGGTCGGGCAGGTCAAGGGGTATGTGATAACTTCTCTATCGGGCGTCTGGAAGTCACGTCCATTTATAGTTCAACATGGTGAGTCTTCTGAATTGAAAATAATAAGAATAATACCGAAATTAATTAACGTATCACATGAAATTGTAGTTTAGAAGGCAATTACATATCTATAACAGACCGGGTAGATAGTTAAATTAGTAGTAAAATCTTATCTCCCCCTCTTGAGGCACGGGACCTATAGAGATGCAATTATTCTAGAAATTTTAAAGATCTACACAAATTATAGGCATTTCTGGAACAGAATAGTTATTCATAATTGAGTACTTGAATGTTTTACAATAACTTATTGCTTATTTGAGGGTAGGTAGGTAGAGCAAATTTAATACACCCGTTGCACGAAATCAATGCGTGAATGCATGTTAGAGATAAAAGTATATATTAACCTAGACCATAATAATTACAATCTGTCAGAAATGGTAATTATTTACTTATCTTAAGCCTGCAAATGTACACAACTGATAGTGTCTTTATATTAATTAATAATAAATCGTATCACTAAGCAACTTGATTTAATGTGAAGTTCTAGAATGTAGAATTTCGCATTCATACTTTAATTTAGATATTAATTTTATAAACAGTTTATCCGTATTTCTCCCCAATTTATTACAGTTAGTAATTTTAAAGGACATTGACAACATTAAAAACAAACGCAATAAATCTTCTCTACGGATTCAATTTTTGCTTTTTTTTAATGTTCATCTTTTATAGAACATACAAATCGAAACAGGTGATTCCTATTTGAAACGACTAAAAGTTATTTTAGAATATGTTAGCTACAAGGTATCCGATACACTGTGTCGTAGTAATAAAAACATGAGATGTTTTAAACCGTTAAAAGTATTTCATTTAATACGTAGGTACAACTCGAGTAAATTACTGACAATACTTAATAGTATGACTTTTCAAGGTTGCTCTAAACTTAAGTATGATAACATTTTAATTTTTATTGTTGCGTAATATTTTTTGCTATTGTTAAGAAAACCATAACCTGTTTGTGTATTTGCAGTCGATAACTCACGGACTAATAGGTATTTATTCAAGATATATAGACGAAGGAGCAAAAATTACAATTTAGTTATGTACAGCGCATAGATATTATCGACATTCAATTTTTGTTCTACATTATAACAATGGTATTAAGACAACTATTTTTTTATTAGATATTTTATATGAACTACAAAGCACGTAAGAAATGTTCTCTGCTCAAGAGAATTATAAAAAAATAGGTATGAACAGAGTAGAATTGTTTCTTGAAAACAAACACAGGTCAAAAAATAACGTTACGATGTATATACTTTCTTTGTTTCTATATAAATTATTAAGAGTTATCATATAATGATACAAAGAACGTCTCCGCGAATACGACGGCAAGTACTGCTAAATAAAACGATAAACAAAACAAACAACGGAAGATGTTGACCTCTGACGTAAACTAATTTGACAATTAATTGTAACATACTTGTAAACACGCTTTGAATTTGGAATCACTGCATTTCAAACGCAGTCTTTCGGCGTCTTTAAACCTTATTGATAATATTGATGGTAGTTTAATTTACCGCGAGGCCTTAT